ATTCAAGTGCACATAGCTGACGTGTTGATCAGATACAAGTGAAGGAACCAGTTGAGTCCTTTCAGATTTCAATTTTTAATTCTAATACTGACGAGTATATTCAAGATAATATACAGTCTCTATCCAGTGTACAGTCTGACAGACATACAATGAACCTAAGGAGAAAACGTATGTAGCAGTAACTAAATCCCCAAAATAAACAGCTCTGTAAGTTTTCGACATTGGATGGTAACCACATGTTTTCATGGACTCACCTAGCTGAAGGCGCTCGGTCATGCATCCGCACCAGATCATGTGTGGGAACGTCGTGCTAAACGTTTACTGCAATCTCTAGCCAGATTAGATCAGACGATTCTCGATATATTGATATCACATCAAATATATCTTCCGATCTCCCCGATTCTGGTTAAAGCGTTGTCAAACACTGAATACCTGTGCCATCTTCACGTACAATCGAGTACAGTAACTGAGATTCCAATTTAAGATACGGTGGTTGCGTCATTTGTTGCGTTTATATAAACTAATAGTTCATCTGTACTTGATATGCCCCTAGTTTTGAATTCTCAATACCATACGTTCGTTTGTGCCCACCTAGTTGTGTTTGATCTAAAATGCGCTATTTCGAGGGTTCCTAGTTTAAATAATAATTCAAAAACTTTAAAATACCACACAAATAAATGACTTTATGTGACTCATGGAGATCTGCTGTGGAATAACGACTGGGATAGCGTATGTCCAGTAAAAATAAGGACTTGGCCATCAACATCGGAAACCTACAGAACTATAAATCTTGGGATTTGTTCACTACTACACCCCACGTTACCAGCCAAAATCTCAAAACCCAAAGAGTCTGACATTAGTAAACACTCTTCAATAGCTTGTTATGTTAAACAGCATTTGGTAGTCTTTTCCTGATTTAAGGAGTCATGTGGTACGATATTACAATAAGAATGTACGATGAAAACTACGAATAATTGTTTTTATCGTCGGTTTTTTCGTTTTTCCAGTCGTCTAGGAGAATAAAAGTGAAGATATAAGTACATGTTACAACCCACTCATGTGAAACGGTGCCATGGTCCAGACACTTTGAGATATAAGAATATTCCCTTGAATCTCTGCCCTATCAAATCAAGTTGAATATGATCGAAGCAAACGTCAGGAGTTGAGAAGTATCCTATGAGGTATTTGTTGGGTCTTGTCATCTTAGATCTCTGGCTGCTTAAATAGGGGCGTGCCCATAACTACGTGATCCATGCCGTACATTTGTCACATTATATTATTTGCAAAATATACCCCAGTGGGTCAGGCCACTTATCAAGAGAACCAGACACCATCCAGACTTTCACGTATCAACCCTAAAACCACAGCTCAAACCCGTCTAACAGGAGAACCAGACACCATCCTGGATTAAACTTTATAACCATAGCAATACAGCTCGATCCCACTTCACAGGGGAACTAGACACATATAGGCTTTAACGCCACAACCTGTATAAGACAGCTCAATCCTGTGAAGCAACCACATAGATACCAAGCAACCTGGTGCACAATTTGCACCACTTACATACACATTCACATTACATGTATAAGTATTCCCACCAATAATAGGGTAAATCAACTATCCACAGTACGAACAGGCCAAAGTTGACCTATTACACTTACACGACAGTTAAACTCAATAATGTTATCAATGGTGACATGGTAAAAGATTTGCGGTCAGTGAAGAGAGCGGGCTTGCGATGACAGCAGATACTAACTGTATGATCCTTAGTACTGACCATACGATAAGTGATGAGACTTACATTAAACGATGAAAAATTGAAGGTCAGCAAATGTGAACATGGGTACACTCTATGTTACTCCATGCCTTTCATATGAGACATATTATTCTATCACCTGCCAAAACCCGTTCTTCAAACGTTCATATAAAATTAACTACTCTTAGATACTATAGACATTGAGGTGAGATTTTATGAGCAATCATACAATGACAAGCCCGCAATATTAGACTAGATTTCGACACAAATCTCACAAAATCTACGAGTCTTAAACAGTGTAGTGTAAAACATGAATAAAAGTTCCCAACTGAAAATATCACACCTCGATTCATCACCTACCAATCGTTCTGAGAATAATGGATATGTAACGACCGAACTGCTAGTACTCGGTTTAAGCGTATGACTGACGAACCAAAATTCATTCGACTAGACCAGACTACGTTCTTCTGTATAGCGTACGAAGCGTTTCTGCGATATTCGTATTAAATTATATCAAAACACAAACTCTGTGCTAAATTTAAACGGTTCTAATTTAGGAAATAGAACAAATGATATCAAAATTACAAAATACCTAAAAAGGTACAGCCTGTACTATACAGTCAATAGTTTCTCTCAAAAAAAGTAACGTGCTGAACAACAAAAAAACCCAGGTAATACAAAAGCGTTCAATACCTTAGAATCAATAAAAATATTCCAACAAGATGTGATCAGATATCTATGAGCAGGGATTCGAGCAATCTTCCCAAGGAGACAGTCAGAGGTCAACAGTCATGCACTGAAACACGCTGTGACCTAGAGCCTAGCCAAACACGACCTTACTGTCAATAGTCCGGCAACATGCAATAGAAAATTAGGTAACAAAAGGTAAGATTTGATCAAAATCACATAATAAATGCTCAGATGAGGAGGACTAGAGGATAAAAGGTGCGGTTAAGCGAGATCTGAACAAAGGTTAAAATACGCAACAGAGAGAAGACACAAATAATGACAATACTGTCCAACTAAAAGGTTGTGGAGGGATTTTCATCGTTCTCTTTCCGTTACAGGTTAAACTGAAGTGTATCTTTAAGATATTGTTGTAGGACTGCTCAGATTGCTTGGTCGAATGCGTCTACAGCAATACTAATGAGAGTTTTAATTTCTCTGTGTGCAAACATAGTTGCTTCTGCGATATTTTCCCTAACATTGGAGGACTGGTTTTCACTCTTTCGTTCGAATTCATGATTGTCGCATTTCCAATAAGCTGTACTGTTGATGGTAAAGTAAAAGAAGAATTTGAACAAGTTATAACCGCAATATTGAGTTTCATTATTTTCACTGTGATTTTGTTATGTTTCCTTTACTTTTCGTTTGAAATTACTCCTTCATAATTTGTACCTCGTACATCTCAGTTCACACTATTTCAGTATGGTATTTCTAAAATTGTGCCTTTGGAAATTAAGAATCGAAGATTATGACAAATGAAAAATTCGGAAGTTTCATACAAGACCTGAATCAAAGAGAAAAACTGACATCACTTGAGAGCACCACATTCATATCGATACTGTCCCATCGACAATCAAACAAATCAGCATGGTTATCAGAAAAACCAAGAGTATCTAAGCATAAGAACTAGACAACTTACAAGATGAAGCACTGAATTCAGACATAGAAGTAACTTCAAAGATGCCCCACATTTTATTCAGAAAGATTTGGAGGAAGAACAAGTGCCGATAGACTAGAAAGAAGGATACATCACCAAGATACAAAAGAAAAGAGATCTGAGCAAGTGTGAGAACTACAAAGGCATCACACTACTATCAGTACCAAGGAAGGTTCCCAACAGAGTGTTACTGGACCGAATTAAAGATTCAGTAGACGTCCAACTGCGAGGTCAACAGCCTGGATTCTGTAAGGACCGGTCATGCACAGACCAAATCACTACAATATGGATCATTGTTGAGCAGTCAATAGGATGGGATTTGTCACTATAAATCACCTTCCTTAACAATGAGAAGGCATTCGACAAATTGGATAGGAGAACATTAAGTAACCATCTTCGATACTGTGGTATAGTTGAGAATATCGTCAACATCATACAGAATTCATGAGACGGGCTGTACTACAAACTGGTGCATGGAGAACAGCTGACAGACCCATTCATAGTAAAGACTGGTGTCAGTTAAGGCTGCTTATTCTTGCGCTCTTTCTCTCATTTGGTGGTTGACTGACTGGATTATGAAGACCTACATGGACAGCTTGGATGTGGCTAGAAAATTTGGACTTTGCAGATGATCTAGGTATTCTCTCTCACACGGCAACAAATGTAGGTGAAGACAGTCAGTGTTGCAGCAACCTCTACAGCAGTAGATCTCAACATTCAAAAGGGTGAAATCATGATCCTGAAAGACAACAGAGCGAGCATCAACCAAACCACACTTGATGAAGAAGCTCTGGAAGAGATGGACGCCTTTACGTAGCTGAACAGCAACATTGGTGAACAAAGCGGATCTGACGCAGATGTGAAGGCACTGATTGACAATGCAAGCTTGGCACTCTTGTAAGTGAAGACCATATGGAACTAAAACCGACCGTCAGGTAACATCAAAGTAAGATTCTTCAATACAAATATCAAAACATTTCTGTTATAAGGAGCTTATACTTAGGGAACTACTACAACTATCATGAAAAGAGTGTAGATAATTATAAAAGGTTCTCTGCACCAAATACTCTAGGTCCATTGACCGTATACAACCAGCAACAACATGCTATAGCAGAGAACAAACCAGATCCCAGTTGAAGAGGAAATTGAGAAAAGACGCTGTACGCTGGTAGGACGCACACTACAGAAAGCGTAAAACTGCATCACACAACAAGCCCTGACTTGGAACCCTCAAGGCGAAAGGAAAAGAGGCAAACCTAAGAACACATGGTGCCGAGAATCGGATACAGACATCAAAAGAATCAATAGCGCTTGGGAACAACTGGAAAGGAGTGCTCAGGGCAGAGTTGGTTGGTAAATCATGGTTGGTGGCCTATGTTTTACGAGGGTTAACAGGCGTAAGTTAAGTGAAGTTATTACCATTTTTAGATAAAGAGCTCATGTAAATAGTGAAGTGAAGTTTTAGCACCATATTTACTCTTAAATCACTTTCTTCACACACATCCGATGAAAGATGTCACTCAGATCAGGCCATATTTAGTAAATACATTGTGAATATGACTGTCAAAATACGAATAGCCATTAAATTACCTTCATTCCGTCCTTCAGTGATACACTATCATAAAGATCTTGTGTACTACGCCCCATATGACTTTTGTAAGATAATTTATTTTCAGCTTTTGTTCCAACAGAATTTGTATGCAGCAAATGAGCATTTGAGAGATTCATAGGGCTATTAAAGCAGTTAGATTGTAAAGATCTAGAAGTTGTTTGGTTTTTTACAGAAGATGGTCTTTGTGATGTAGCAGAGTTTCGACTCTTAGAATACTTTGTGTGTTGATTAGTACCAGTATCACCGCCATTTGGTTCTGGAAGATTACGACATACATTATTATGATTTGACTGGATGAAAGTAGTCAATTTTTCTCGACATTGAGATATAGATTGATCCAGTTCTTTTTGGGCCTTTTGCCGTGAACAAACCCGTTCCATATGTCTGCAGCGTGGCGTCGAGTTGAGGTTAACCATGAACACCGCTACCAAAAAACACGTGCCAAGTTAATCAGAAGGCGAAGGTTGGACGTAACCAAATAAATCCATAAAATCTTCGAGAAGCCAAATATCAGAAGACAGTTAATGGATCAAATTGAGATATATATTTGCTGGCGATCTCGTGGTATCGAAAGGACACCGAGATCGTGCCAGAATACAAGCTTGGTTACAGAACGTAACCGAATTCGCGCGAAGTTACAATCAAAGTGTGAGTATGAGAATGGAGGCAAAATATAGCTGTCATTAGCACAGTCAAACAAAAGCACATTAAAACAAGCACTGGTACAGTTGGTTATAATAATAATTGTTTCTATTAAACCAGTCGTGTTCTCGTGATAAATGTGAGTCACTATATGTCTACCGAAAATAGGCCATTGAGATAACTTTGTAACTTACATAAATATGATGACAATTCCATAGTGCTAATAAAATATCATTTATTATAGAAAACTATGGAAATTTCTAAAGTGTTTTATTACAATGCTCAACAACATGAATAATTCGTTATGCTTTGCAGTGACTATTTAGCAGATGTTCTAAAACCCTTCAAAGACTTAAGGTTATCTGTCATTTTAAAATGGAAAATATGAGTCTAGTATTTTGAATCTAAAACTTTACCCTTTCTATGATGACGATAAAAGATGTAAAAGGTACACCGCCAGTAAGCACGCCAATGATCGAATGATGATATTATAATGTATTCAGACTGTCATAATGTTTAAGCGAATTTCCAAACGCTCCTAATCCTTTGTGATTCTATAAACATGATCACATCTTTTAGTTAATTATTCTTTTCTGTTATTAAGTATAATTCCCGCCAGATATTGAGTAAACCTATTTCTCTAGAAAATTATTCATGGTCGTTTCGAACAACTAGGAATTTCATTTTCGGTCTTCACTAGTTTTACATACGTTCTGAATGATAGTCAAAATAACATTTAACTTAGTGGAAATTGTAGTAATTAATTAATTGAATTCATGAGTCGATGTAAGCTAGACCACCATTGAAATTCGATTTATCGAATTTTACGAAGTTAGGCGAAAAACGTTGAGTACTGTTCTTGAAGAATACTTGTCACAATCTTAGGATGTAGTAAATTAAAGGGCATAAACTGAGTTAAAACCATTTTAACCGATGATGTCTAATAATAAGGTTTTTTAAAGATGGGAAGTGTTTGAATCTGACTTTTGGTTTCAGACTTTTATAATTATAATTATATTCCTCTAATGGTGAAGGATTATATTTAGTTTTTGCTTTCGAATTTCGACAGAATAAGACAAAATTTACCTAAATGATTATCAGATGCTTGACACTACAAAAACAGTTATTAAATTTGATATTTAGTAGCAAGTACTGGGGGGTTGTATAACACAAGAGAATTTTACTTGGTATGTGAATGCAAATTCTCTTCACTCAGGAACGTATGTCTGTTTGTAGTTATTGTAGATGAACCAGACCAATTTGACTGACCAAGTGAAGAATAATTGGATAATGTAGAATCAGATCGATTTCGAACACTTTTTAAGCCTGTAGATCGTTGAACACTACAATATTTCCTGAAGTTGATTGAATGCACTTCATCTTGTTCGGCCTCACATAGGACACGACTAATATCCTTGACTAAAAAAGAAGAAAAATCAAGCTATTTTATACCAATATTGTCTGCAAAACACCAATTAATTTTAAGAGGAATATGTATTTCACAAGTTGAAATCATGAGTCAATTGAAGCTAGACCATTATAGAAAACCTGGAAGCGCTGGATGGCCGTTTCGTCCTAGTATGGTTCTCCTCAGAAGTGCGCATCCACGATCCCGCACCCCGCGGGATTCGAACCCCGTTGGATGCCGGCTCAGCGGTCTAGTGGTTAAGTGCTCACGAGCGAAGCTAGTAGGTCCTGGGTTCGAATACCGCGGGGTGCGGGATCGTGGATGCGCACTGCTGAGGAGTCCCACAATGAGACGAAACGGTCATCCAGTGCTTCCAGGTTTTCTATGGTGGTCTAGCTTCAATTGACTCATGACTTCAACTTGTGAAATTTCTAGAAAATCTCCACAAAACCCATCCTGAAAATATGTATTTAATGATGATATGATGAATAAATTAGTTCTCAAGTTTATATTACAAGGTAATCATTTAGTTCACTTTAAAAATTAAAATGAAAAGTTTTCTTTTTCTGTACGATAACCAAGAATTATGTAAGAATTCGTTAAACGCACAAAATCAAATTTAAACCTAAAAAACGCTGAGAAATAGCTTACAGTTTTTGAAATACTTTGGAAAAGAAAACTGATATAAAACATACTTTGTCAGTAGGATTATTCTATAAGCAACACCATAATTAGTATCTTGTTTATAATAAACAAAACTAAGCCTACTGACATAAAATTCAATAAATATTCTTTTCAAGCAAATTTCACTGAAAAATGTTTTTATAAATCATTAGTACATAAATGATATCTTACTTGGTGCAAATGTGCTTTTAAAAGATCGCCAATCGACATTAGCAATTATTTTCAAGTTGGCCACAAAGTGAATTTTTAATGTTCGTTTTATTCTCAACATCATTCTCTGTGATTGAGAAAAACTATAGACTAGGACAACAAGAAATTCTATCACTGTATATCCATCTAGTATTAGGCACCGAAGTTATGTGAGACCTTAAAAGTCATATATTGTATTCCATTCACTTCATGGTTTAATGTTTCTCATATAGTATAAACCATTTATATTCACACAAGCAAGCAGGAGTTTTGCGCTTAAAAAATATTTTCATATTGCTTTCCTTCACTTTATGTTTGTCATCTTAATCAAACGATTTTCCCAATTAAAGCTACATGCACAAGATTTCGATTTACTAATTCCACTAAAATTTTTCATCTGATTTTCTTCGTAAGTGATGACTGTTAATGACTGGTTGTTTAGTTGATTATTTCCTTTCGATAATCGATATGCATTGAGTGTAGTATAACCTAACAGCCTGTTCCATTTTTTTATAACTCCATCCCATCTAACTGTTTTATTTATTAAACTACATTACTTACTTACTTACTTACTTACGCCTGTTACTCCTCGTGAAGGAGCATAGGCCACTCACCAGCATTCTCCATCCAACCCTGTCCTGGGCAATCCTTTCTAGCTCCGTCCAGTTGTAATTCATCCTTTTCATATCTGCTTCTATATCCGACGCAATGTGTTCTTTGGCCTTCCTCTTTTTCGCTTCCCTTCAGGGTTCCAAGTTAGGGCTTGCCTCGTGATGCAGTTTGACGATTTGCGTAATGTATGTCCTATCCATTTCCATCGTCTTTTCCTAATTTCTCTTCAGCTGGAAGTTGGTTTGTTCTCTCCCACAGAAGGCTATTGCTGATGGTATCCGGCCAGTGGATGTTGAGTATCTTGCGTAGACAGCTATTTATAAATACTTGTACTTTCTTGATTGTGGTTGTTGTAGTTCTCCAAGTTTCAGCTCCATACAGTAGAACTGCCTTGACGTTCGTATTGAAGATTCTCACTTTGATATTGGTTGAAAGTTGTTTTGAGTTCCATATGTTCTTCAATTGTAGGAATGCGACCCTTGCTTTGCCGATCCTCGCCTTTACGTCTGCATCTGAACCTCCTTGTTCATCGATGATGCTTCCTAGGTATGTGAAGGACTCTACATCTTCCAGAGTTTCGCCATCAAGAGTGATTGGATTGCTGTTTTCCGCTTTGAATTTGAGGACCTTGGTTTTCCCTTTGTGTATGCTGAGGCCTACTGATGCAGAGACTGCTGCTACACTGGCTGTCTTCATCTGCATCTGTTCGTGTGTACGTGATAGGAGGGCTAGGTCGTCTGCGAAGTCCAAATCGTCTAATTGATTCTGAGTTGTCCATTGTATTCCGTGTTTTCCTTCAGATGTCGAGGTCTTCATAATCCAGTCGACCACCAGAAGAAAGAGGAAGGGAGAGAGTAAACAGCCTTGTCTGACTCCAGTCCTTACTTGGAATGCATCTGTCAGCTGTCCTCCATGCACTACTTTGCACTGTAGTCCGTCGTATGAGTTCCGGATAATGTTGACAATCTTCTCAGGAACTCCGTAGTGTCGAAGAAGTTTCCATAATGTCCTCCTATCTACACTGTCGAATGCCTTTTCATAATCAATGAAGTTGATGTATAGTGATGAGTTCCACTCAACTGATTGTTCGACGATGATCCGTAGTGTTGCAATTTGGTCTGTGCACGACCGATCCTTACGGAATCCAGCTTGTTGATCTCGAAGTTGGGCGTCTACTGCATCCTTCATCCGGTTCAGCAACACTCTGTTGAAGACTTTCCCTGGTATTGACAGTAGTGTAATGCCTCTGTAGTTTTCACATTTGCTCAGATCTCCTTTCTTTGGAATCTTGACGAGGTGTCCTTCTTTCCAGTCCATCGGCACTTGTTCCTCCTCCCAAATCTTTTTGAATAGAAGGTATAGCATGCTTGTGGTTGCTTCGATGTCTGATTTCAGTGCTTCAGCTGGTATGTTGTCGGGTCCTGCTGCTTTCCCGTTCTTGATTTGTCTGACGGCCATTCTAATTTCTTCCGTCGTTGGTGGGTTGACATCTATAGGAAGATCTATGTGTGCTGCTTCGATGTCCGGTGGATTCATTGGAGCCGGCCTATTCAGGAGTTCCTCGAAGTATTCCACCCATCTGTTACGCTGTTGTTGAATTTCGGTGATTGGCTTGCCTTCTTTGTCTTTGACCGGCCTCTCTGGTTTACTGTATTTCCCTGCTAGTTTCTTCGTTGTATCGTGAAGCTGTTTCATATTTCCTTCTCTAGCAGCTTTTTCTGCCGTCGTTGCTAGTTCTTCCACGTATTTCTTCTTGTCGGCTCTAATGCTCTTCTTCACTTGTTTGTTTGCTTCTATGTATTCAGCTTGTGCTTGGACTTTCTCTGCTCGTGTTCGGCTGTTGTTAATTGCTGCCTTCTTGTTCTTCCTTTCTTTGATCTTGTCCAGTGTTTCTATAGAGATCCATTCCTTATGATGGTGTTTCTTTAGGCCCAGTATTAAACTACATAGAGGGACTCATGTCCTTTCTCAATTTATTTAACAGTTTAATCTTGAAACTCTATAATTATTTTACTAGGCTTTTGTTAGGTTCGTTAAGCTTGAATGCTACTACTGATTCGGCTTATTCGGAACGGAACGAAGGATCAAGGATTCAGAGACTCAATAGGCTATTCTAGTCCGTTGTTCCCGACTCAGCTAACTCGATCAAGAAGTCTTGGTAAGATGTAGAAGTGTATTCTACAGGCAACCAGCAGATATCAGGTCAGGTCAATCAGGCACACAAATCAAGCGTATTTATACAAATATTTATAATTGATATTGTCATGTTAAAATTTTTTAAACATTACTCAATAAGTTCATCAATCGACTGCCATTTAAATATTTAATCGATAAGTTCGTCAATTGACTGCTATTTAAACATTTAATCGATAATTTAATCGATATGATAAAATCACAAAATATGAGTTTGGGGGATCTAGCATCCCCAACAGCTTTATTCAAGAATTACTTCTTTAAGTATCTATAATTATTTTTGTAGACTATTTTAAGTTAGTGTTGAGGCATGATGAATAGCAAGGTATACAATTTTCTTCACTCAGTATGACTTTTAAATTCAAAATTTATTTATTTCATCAGATGGATTGTGAAAGACAATTAGAGTATACTGACTGATGGAAATTAACACACTAGTTCAGTTTTGTCAACGATTTATATTCTTGACTGTGATTAATAAAAGCATAACTCCTCATGTAGCTCTTCTAGAGTTACTGCCGGTTCCAAACCCGGGTAAAGGAGGAGGGTTGAGCATGGGGTTAGCGACCCCATCCCGTAGAAAACTAACTCGCTAAAAATAACGCTAACCAGAAAAAATAATTCAAACCATTTAAACTCTGCCCTGGGAGCTAGAAGGTCTTCATTTCAAAGAAATATGATGCCTCATGGTGAAAGCCGAGTTCCTTCGGAAGCCACGACTAACAACCAGAGCAACAATTTTTATAGGTACATGGGACATCCCGACAATGTGGGAGACCGGGAAGACCAGTCAAATAGCAACGGAAATGAGGAGATACAACCTAGCAGTACTGGGAATCAGCGAAATCCATTGGACAACAAAGTCTAAATACGGGAGAGATGGTGCTTTACTCCGGCAACGAAGAGGAAAATGCTCCACACACTCAGGGAGTTGCTCTAATGCTGTCCAAAGTAGCACGAAATGCACTTCTAGGATGGGAATCTCACAGATCCAGAATCATCAAAGTATCATTAAAAACAAAGAAGGAGGGGATCAAAATGAATATTATCTAATGTTATGCACCCACCAATGATAGCAATGAAGACATTAAAGATCAATTCTAAGAGAGATTGCAATCAATCATAGCGAAGTGCCCAAGAAAAAACATCACCATTCTGATGGGAGATCCAAACGCCAAAGTCGGAATAGACAACACCCGGATATGAAGATATCATAGGACGACATGGACTGTGAGAGAGAAACGAAAACGGGGAAAAATTTACAAGTCTGTGTGCATTCAACAAATTGGTCATAGGCGGCACAATATTTCCACACAAACGTATACACAAAGCTATATGGATCTCACCGAACCACACCACAGAGAATCAGATAGATCATATTTGCATCAATAAAAAGTTCCGAAGGACAACGGAAGATGTGAGAACCAGGAGAGGAGCTGACATAGCTTCAGATCACCATCTAGTTGTAGCCAATTTAAAACTGAAGCTAAAGAAGAACTGGACAACTGGATAAACAGCATTAAAAAGGTTCAATACAGCCTTCCATCGAGATATTGAAAAACTCAACCAATTCAAGATAACTCTCAACAATAGGTTCCACGCCTTGCAGGATCTACTGAGAGAAGAAAAAACTACTATAGAGGACAACTGGAAAGGGATCAAAGAAGCATCAACTTCAACGTGTCAAGAGGTGCTGGGCCGCAAGAAGTATCATCATAAGGAATGGATCTCCATCGGAACCCTGTACAAGATTAAAAAAAACAAGGAAACAGCAACTAACAACAGCTGAACCAGAACAGAGAAAGTTCAAGAACAAGCTGAATACACAGAAGCAAACAAACAAGTGAAGAGGAGCATTAGAACCGACAAGAAGAAGTACGTGGAAGAACTAGCAACGACGGCGGAAAAAGCTGCAAGAGAAGGAAATATGAAACAGCTTCACGATACAACGAAGAAACTAGCAGGAAAATGTAGTAAACCAGAGAGACCGGTCAAGGACAAAGAAGGCAGGCCAATCACTGAAATTCAACAACAGCGGAACAGATGGGTAGAGTATTCCTGATCATTCCTTATCATCAGTATATAATATCACAGTAAATAATGAGAGAAACCTGAAGTCATTGAAAGAGGATTAAATGCAATTCAGAAGATAAAATCCCCCCTCATGAAAATTTTCATGACATCAAACATAGGTCTATTCAGGTATTTATCCACCAGATTAGTTTTTAGATTACCAATGCTAAGTCACTTTTACCCGTGTTTACGGATCACTGTCTAACG